GGGTGGAGAGTTAGGAGCTGAGGGGGTTGAAAATGGAAATTTAAGGAAAAGCTTTTGGACGGTTGCTGAAAAGGGGATGACCTGGTGGTCTCGCCCACTCTGAGATAAATCGTTTTCGAGTCGTGTCTCCTCGATCCCATTCACCAGATATCGATTGCCCTCAAGAAACGAGGCACCTCCTCGATCCATGAATTTTTTTTCCATCTCTTTTTTCGCCGTTTTTTCAAGGGGTCAGGGATTTTCCGGCTTACTCGGTGCACCTCCTTTGGCCTCCGGCAAATCCCCAGTGTCTTCAAATAAATGGTGGAAACTGTCTCGTATTATTTATTCTGGGGTACATTATATTTAATCGCTTTTTCTGCGATTAAGATATCTTTCTTTGGATATTTTTTCTCGGGATCGATATATTCGATTTACGGACAATTAATATTTCATTTGTTGGGATTTTGGATTTACATTTTGGAAATTGCACAGATGAGGAATTGTAATTTGAATTATTATGGCAATTTAATTTTGAGGAGATGAGAGTGGAAAATTGTCTGAATTTTTAAGGCGTGTGATTTAATCAGTAGAGGTTTTTTGTCGAATTTTCTTCCAGTATTTTTTTACTGAAATCCATTAAACCTTTTTCATGATTAAAATTCCCAAATTTTTCCATTTCATCTTTCCATATATAATATTCATCTTGATCGTATGAGAACTCCAGTTGAAGATGAATGATAAATTCATTTGAATTCCTGATGCGTATAATTTAATTAGCAGAGAATTATTCTAGAATTTTCTTTCAATGATTTCCCACTGAAATCCATTAAGCTCTTTTCGTTATTAAAGATCTGGACATTTTCTATCTGATACTTCTATAAATTATAAATGATAAATTATGGAGAATGATAAATTATTTGAAGTGCTGAGACGTATGATGCAATTATCAACGAATTTCTCTAGATCTATCTTCCCGTAATTTTCCACTGAAATCTATAAAAATTTTTAGGCTGAGAATGTGTATTTTCAATGTAAGATATTAAGTTTCGTGCACCTGTGATACTCATTTAACGTTTGAATTGAGAGCCAGAAGCTCAGCCAAACGGGGTAATCCTATTATTAGAGAATTCCCAGTGCGTATGCAAAAGTGAAGCACACAGGTACTCTTATTTTTGAATTACAGCATAATTTTAACGCAAACAGAGCTCTCTTCAGACAAGGTTGGTTAGAGGTGTGCATTTAGGTGTCGATTATTTCTGGTGTTGTTGCCATGGGGATAAAGAGGGGTTAAACTTTTAAGGGGGAAGAAAGTTGTTATGATAATTTCAATGCAATTTTGTAATAGAATGGAAATATCTCGGGAATTATGAGTTGAGCAAGGGGGTTGTGAAAATTGTTTCACGCAATAGCTTGAGAACATTTTCTGAATGATACTTGAAGACCTATTTTCATCTAATAGTACCTACCGCCTGTGCGCTAAATATTTTTCTACCATCGCAGAAATTGCCTCTAGAGTGTTCGCCATTTTTTATGGGTCTACAGGTTTATTAAATATTATTCTCCCATCATTTTTTATAATTATCGTTTTGCACTCGAGTCCGTGAGATGAAAGTCGGAGAAAACATCTCACGTCACTTGTATGCAAAGATTTTAAAAAATGATAAGATTCTCTTATCAGCTCCTGCGGACGGAGTAAAATAAATGTTAATTTTTTTTTTTTCATTTCTGTATTTTTTCTCGGGTTGAAAAATTTTATTGTTGTTTATAGAAAAAAAGCGGGCAAAATCAATCGTTAATCTTTATCTCTCCGATTTCGAGACTCGGTTAAACGGAAAATTTAAAATCCAAAAAAAGGGAGTGAATTAA